CCTTCCTTCCTTCCTTCCTTCCTTCCTTCCTTCCTTCCTTCCTTCCTAATTAAGAATGTTGGGTTATTTCAACTTAGAAATAAATATATAAGCTTTGAGCTTTTGACTGCAAATAGTGTCAAATTTCAAGTGATTCAAATCACTCACTCTGTTACAGCCGAGTATAGACCACAGTTAATCAGAAGGGAGTACTAACAAAGCAATTAACATAGGCTCAATTCCTGTGAAGGGCACTGGTGAAGGTTTACTCTATTCAAGATTCAATTTACATTCCAAATCCATCTTGAGAACTTCAAGCCATTTTCTACAATTGCAATAATAAGACAACATGAATCAGTGTTATTAACTGGGAGAATACTGTCCCGAGCCAGTTCCAGATCTTAAGATCAAGCCAGGTTCTCTGCTAAGAATTGAGATCACAATACAGCTCTGAAGAAGCTGAGTTTAAAATAAAGAGGAACTCCAGTGTTTCAACTAGGAATTAACAGTCACAAATGCTGATTAGTTACCTTACAGAACATGTCTCTGAGATCATCTTTTGGGTTAATCCACGATGCAACGGCATCACAAAAAAATATAAAATCCTGTAACAAGCAAGAGGCATTTTATGTTGCTACTCTTTTTACCGAATTCGTAAAACACATCTTCAAATTTCAGAGCTTGTCGCAATAATTAACTAAAACCCCAATATTTAAAGTCAACTAGGACCACTAAGGAATTAGAAGTGACAGTTTAACATTTCAATTAACTCATTACCTCCTAGTAACTTATATCAAATTGTAATTTACAAAACAAAAGCAAACCAGTCTAGGAAATATTCAGCATTAGGAATGGTCTGAAAGAACCAGATAAAGTCAACAATAAGGCAGTTCTGGCTAGATTGTAAACAACCTGAATTTATACCACAAGCTAGCTTGAAATAGAAGAAGGATATTAAATTTAACAACCATCTTGAGATAGTAAACAAAACCTTAAATACATGGCTAAAGAAATGGCTCAGCAGTTAGGAGCATTGGTTGCTTCATAGATCTCAATTCAGATCTCAGCACCCACAGGCCATACACAGTGAGAACCAACCAGGGTCTGGAGAGAGGACTTAGGGAAAGAGCTTGGTTGCTCTTGGAGAGGACCAACTAACAAAAATCCCAACCAATCAACAGAACAAATGAATGCATGTGTTTTGTATTTTGAGCATGTGGTATAGAATTCAATGTTTTTTTTTTTTTCCTGTGTTATGTCTGGAAAACTGGCAGCTGGAATATTTTTATTATACTCCCATATATAAAACCTGTCACTAAATAATTAAATGTTGAGAGGGGCTGTGGTTAAGAGAGATGGCTCAGCAGTTAAGTGAGCACACTCGTTGCTCTTCCAGAGAAACCAGATTTGATTCCCAGAACCCACATGGTCACTCATAATCATATTTAACTCCAGTTCCAAGAGATCTGACGCCGACTTCTGGCCTCCAAGGGCGCCAAGCACACACAAGGTGTACAGACATAAATGCAGGTAAAACATCCATACATATTAAAAATAATAGCTATAATTTTAAAAATGTCTAAAGATAACAAACTTAGGAAATAAAATAGGATGAATAAATAACAAGTTTTTAAAACAATTTCAAAGAATAACTCAATATTCTATTTTATTTGCTATTTTAAAGTTCAAACTCTAAACTGATATCCATAAACAGGAGGCATGTACAAAGTAAATAAATGAACTCTAAACATACATGAAAAGGCCTGGTCCAGTGGAAGACAACAGTATAACCTTCCTCTCCCAGTCTGCCATCACTATCTTACTTAGTGAAGTAAGACCTGAGAAACACTGCAGGGGTGCTACCCTCCCTGAAGAGTTGTCAGTCTCTGGCACTCATCTGCTGGAGGGAGAAAACTGACTTCTACAGGTTGTTCTGACTCCCCTCTCCTGTGTGCCATGGCATGTGTTTGTCCACACACAATAAACAAATGTAATTAAAGCCTTAAAATATTCTTCCTTTAAAAATCTATTATGTAGTACACAGAACAATGAGAACAAACCCCTGTGAACATCTTACTTGGATTACGCCACTGGGATTCACACTGATCATGGTACAAATCCCACGGAATGCTGAATCTTTCTCTTCATTGTCTCTTATGTTTCTCAGAGAGGTACACCTATTGAATTACAGAACTGAGTTTAGTATTTAAAGTAAAAAGCAGGTTCAACACAATGCTAATAGACAGTATTTAATGGAATAGGCACCACAATAGAGATAATGATTATACTACATTTTCAGGAAGCTTGACTTTCATTTCTCATGTCTGACCCATCTTATCTCAATAGTATTAACAGTGAAATTCACATTTTCTTAATAGACTGAATCTATAAAAATAGACAACTTGTTTTTCTTAAACTATTAATAAGCCTGAGACAAAGAGTATTATTACCAAATTAATTTTTAATTTTTTTATGACTTGTATTCCATTAAACACTACTGAAAATGACTTGAGTTAAAAGATTATCAATTGAAAGAAGCAGAACACAGGCTATACTGTCACAATATAAACTATTACTATACACTTATGGTGTAGATGTTTAACTCTGACATTAACAAGCAAGTAAGATTTTGTATGTAGCAAATTTAAACGTGTATTTAATGCAATCCAAGTTTCCAAATTAATTCTAAAAAAGAAACATAATGCAAGAACCTAAATTTATAAAATTTGCATGCATCTTAATTTTTCTGGTGGATATTTAAATGCTTTTACGTATAATCAAGCTTTTAAACACAGCAAGCATGTGACAATCTTATCCCATGCATCAATTAGTCGTTAGCCACAACATAAAATAAATATACATGACGATGCTACTGAAAAACCTCACAAACCTGATAGGACAAGATTAGTCACATGGTTGGCAATGATTAAGGATTGTGATTTTTGTAACCAACTGAAAATATATCTAAAAGTGAGATAGAGAAAGAAAGAGTGAAGAAAAATGAATTAAAAAAAAAGATTGAATAATACACACCAGGGTCTTATAAACTGCTGTAGCATGGGGGCCACCTCTTGAGGACAAACGTAACCAAGACGACCAATTGTTATTGCTAAGGTAACGCAATCACGGTTATACACCACCAAACGCCAACCAAGACATGAGCAAATGAGGGGGAAGGAGAAAAAATAAAGAAAAAACAACAAATAACTCAGAAACAGAAACCAACAGAATTTGTGTATGATAATAAACATAAGATCTCACCAGTGCTGTTTATTACCACCCCCTGATGGAAGGGGTAGCAACATATATAGCATACTCTTGGAAAAAGGAAAACAAAAGGAATTAAAGTAACTAAAGATTGAGAGAACACCAAAAACCATCAAGTGTTTTTTCTGCTCACCAAATGTCAAGTACTGGTAAAAAGATGAGCTATTAACATGAGTGGGCTTAGAGAATCTTCATTCAGAGCCCTCAAAATGGCAGAACATGGATTCTTTCCCCAAGAATTAGCAGTAAATGTGATTACATTTAAATAAAGTTCATTTAAACACCAATCTCTGGAGCTGCATTAATTCAAAATTTCTCCATTTTTTTTTATAAGTGATTACAACCTTTAAAAATCACCTATGATATTAACCCAAATTTTGGTAACATTTAAGTTAACTTTTCTCAAATTGATGGGGTTTTGTTGATTGTATCAATATCAATTGTTGGATATTAAGTACCATGGTGTCCACCGAATGCACAGACTGAAAAGCCATTCCGGTGTATCAAACTCCATTCTGACAAATCTCCAATAACTCAGGTAACAGCACTAGCCATATGAGATAAAGCTCTAGAGAAGGAAATTTAGATAGTCCACTGTAATGACAGGTTATATGGACTATAGGAAAAAAAAAAAAACAGTCTTTGCTACAAAAAGCTTAACACAAAATAGATTAATAGCATAGTACATCATTTTGTTAAAAAAAAACAACTAACAAAACAAAACAAAAAAACTTGTAGTGGGCAAACATTCTCCATCAAAATTCAGGAATTCCATAAATGTACAAAGAGCTAAGAGAGCTGCAATCGGAACTGCATCTTACAGTTCCAAGGTACATACATATAAATACATTCATACACAACGGGTAAATATACACACAGAAAACAAACCATGAGGTGCTTTAATGGTGTTCTCTCAAAAACTTACAGGTTAACCTTTCATAAAAAAGGGTGGGGTTGGGAGGGTAAAGAAAAATGTTTAAGGATTACTTGAAGCAAACTACACAGATAATACTAAAATTCAGCAGATTCATATGAAGCAAGAGAAAGAAAACCTATGTTCAAAAGACACAAAACTATGCAACATTCTCATTAAACAGGCAAGTATGAACAATCCAATGAAACATGCGAGAAAGCAGATGATGGTCCATTGAAAAAGTTCAGTGTAGGATATACTAGTTGGAAAAAGCAAATACAACACACTAAGGAATTGGCCTCAGGGGATATTGAGAATATGGTAAGTTGCTAAAACATATGGTGATTTTAATAGTTTAAAACCCATTCTTTTGGGTAAGAAATGAAGTCAGTAATTTACATTACATAGCCACTTGCGTCAAAATTAACTTAATGAATCCTGTATGGTTCTCATACTGACTCAGTTCATCAACTTGAATGGCATTATCGTTACTTAGGTATTGCCATGCCAGGAGTATAATCTGATAAACAAAGCCAATTTTTTAAAGGACGACGTCCGCCAGGTGATATCCCACAAGAAACTTCAGTATACATTACACTCAACATTTATTTGTAGTTATGCATTCACATTTAAAGATAAATAGAAAATTTGTCTTTAGGTTCAACAACATTCTTTTAATAATCAAGTGTTTCCATTCTGAATGCCATGTATAGGTACTGCATTCTAGGAAGACAAAAAAAAAATCTGCCAAGATTTCAAAATCATTCTATACACAGACTATTAGACTTCTCAGCAAGAAAATCTACTTTACTTTAAACTAAACAGTACCCATACAGTCAATCAGCCAGATAACTGCTCCATAATTAAAAGATTTCCTTCCATACCAATAAACGTTATAAACTTCAATTACATGAGGGTAAAACTGTGTAATTCAAAAATACCAAATTAAAATGCCTGTGAAAATTTTCATATTCGGAAGACCTTATTTTAATCTTTCTCTGGTTATAGTGGTAGGACTCCCATTGACTATGAATAAACTGCTAGAATTGTTACCTCAATATATAAAGAAAGATGTGCCTGAACAGAAACGAAGTTGAAATATTCATTAGCAACTGTCTGAGAGCGTGGAAAAGAGACGTAATCCCCCTATGTGTGCTATTGTATGGAAGGCATTCTTTAACACCAACATGCTTTACATAAATGCAGAAGAGAAACAGTTTCTAAAATAAAAAGCCCACTAGGAACAGAGTAAGTTTCTGATTTTAAAAAATACAAAAAAGTCTTGTATTTAAAATACAAAATATATATGACATTTTGAACCAATTAGTTGCTGAATTACAATCTATTTTTGGCTATATGTAAATGTGCATTTAAAGTCTTTACTTTTCCCAGCTACTTTCTGAATTTAAAGTAAAAAATTCTATGACTCAACAATGATCTTAGCAAGAATACATATTAGAGGGTAGTGAACTTGAGAATATGTAGAAAAATGTTTTTCCAATGTCCCTATAAACTGGCTATGGAACATAGCTAAACAAAGACACTATTACAAAGAATTCAAATTCATGATAATAACAATCGGCTGGATTTTCAAAGTTAGCTTTGCTTTGGTTTCTCTATGCATCTTGATTTAAACTTAAGAAGCAAATAATTTTCTCTTCACCATAACATTTCATTCATATGGTACCTGTGTTCTCTAACAGCGTCTTTGGTGTGTTGGGTCTGTTAATGATTTCTACAAGCTGGTGTAACACCATAGGAATATAAGGCTGCATCTCTATACCTAGGTCATACCACAGAAAGAGAGAATAAGAAGAAATCAATGTTAAGACATCATCACAAAACATTTTCCTTTCTTCATAACTGTGACACAAGCTCCTCCTCCTCCCTCCCTCCAGTCTCTCACAGAACACTGATGACAACGATCAAGGCACCTAAGGATCATAGCTCAGAGGTAAATAACCTTACCCATTTGAATCGATATTTCCCCAATCGCCCAGGTGGCATTGTTGCAGACTGAAATAAACTCTGGATTTAGATTTGTTCCCAATATTGGCATGAAATCAGCTAGGAAAAACAAAAATAACAATAAAATAGTAAAATAAGGCTATGTGGTAAACCCGTCAACAACAGACTTCTTACTTTTAAAGGAAATCCAGGCAAAAATAAGTTTTATCACAAAACAAACTTTATAGTGTCAATACTGAAACTGATAAAAATATGTAAAAATATTTCTTTAAAGGAGTTTTAATTTAGTATTTTTTAAAAACTACAAGAGATAATATCTGACTACTGAATTTTCATATGAGCCTTAAGTACACTTAAGGTAGCACCTCCCCATACATTTATTTTTAGCTTATATGTGTATGGGTGTTTTGCCTGAATGTATATGCCTATACCCATGAATACCAGTAATAGTAACTTAAGCTAAACAGAGTGTCTCTAGATACCGTAAACACTCCCAGACAGCAAAACAGACCCAGGGTGAGAACCACTACCCATTCAATAACCACCATGGTTGGAAGCATTAACAAAGGGAAAGAGGGACAACCAGTCTCCAGTTGCCTTCTGAAGTAGTATACGAAACTGGGGACAATGAGATAGCTTAGCGGTTTAAAGAACTTCCTACTCTTCCAAAGAATCCAGATTTGGTTCCCAGCAGCCACATTAGTTGGCTCAAACAGTCTAACTCTAGCTACAGGAGATCCAGGTGCCCTCAGACTTCCCTGGATGTATAGAAACATAATGCATGAAGGCATAGACACATGAACATAAATACAAATAATCTTTAAATAAAAAAGCATATAAAACCATCTATAAAAACAAGAAACCCCACAAACCTACACTCCAAACCCTGGAATTGAAATAAAGCTTGGCTTCTGGACCTATCTCCTAGCTGATGGCTAATACAGAGGAATGGAGTGCATGTTAGACAATACCAGAAGTGTGGTCACTACACTAAGAACATCAGTAAGTTCAAGACAAAAATCTCAGATCCCTTTAGCAATAAAAAACAATCACATAAAAGAGATTTAGAGATAGGTTCTCAGTGTAGGAGGTCCTTCTGTTTATGTGTTGTCTTCATTGGTTGAATAAAGAAACTGCCTTGGCCTATTTGATATAGGTAGGTGGAGTAGACAGAACTGAATGCTGGGAAAAAGGGCACAGTGGCAGATGCCATGGATCTCCTGCCTGAGACAGACGCTGGGTAGAATCTTGCCGGTAAGCCACAGTCATGTGGTGATACACAGATTAATATAAATGAGTTAAATTAAGATGTAAGAATTAGCCAACAAGAAGTTAGAGCTAATGGACCAGTCAGTGTTTAAATGAATACAGTTTCTGTGTGGTTATTTCGGGTGTAAGCTAGCCGGGCAGTCGGGACAAACAAAGGGACCCCTCTCCGTGCAACAGGTTCTGAAATACTGAATTTATAAATATCCATGATTAGCCGGGCGGTGGTGGTGCACACCCTTAATCCCAGCACTCAGGAGGCAGAGGCAGACGGATCTAGATGTTCGAGGCCAGTCTGGTCTACAAGAGCTGGTTCTAGAACAGGCTCCAAAGCTACAGAGAAACCCCGTCTCAAAGAAAAAAAAAATTCCATGGTCTTTGTGACTATGGACAGCAATGCATGGGAAACATGGTTTAACATGCATTGACAACAGAGCTTTATTACACATTTGTATGAACAGCATCTCATAAGAATGCTTTATAGGGCCTGGAGAGATGGATCAATGGTTAAAAGCACTGACTGTTCTGAGTTCAATTCCCAGTAACAACATGGTGGCTCACAACCACCTGTTATGAGATCTGGTGCCAACTTCTGGCCTACAGGGACACATGCAGATAAAACACTGTATACATAATAAGTGTTTTATAATTTAGAAAAAGGGAAGTCAAGCTGTATGGATTTAATCCTAACATGCAAGAGACAGAGGCAGGCAGAGCTCTGAGTTTGGGGCCAGTCTGGTCTACAGAGTGAGTTCCAGGACAGCCAGGGCTACACAGAAAAAACATGTCTCAAAAAACAAAACAAATAAAAATATACACTTATATATAATAGAGAGAATCAAACCAAAATCACAGTGACTTAACATAAGATAGCTGAAATTACTTAAAATTCATAAATAGCTGATTCAAAAAGCATATTTCTACTGAGTGTGGTGCACACACCTTTTAATCCCAGCAGTGGGAGGCAGAGCAGGTCTATCTCTAAGTCCTAGGCCAGCAAAAGTTACAAATGAGACAAAAAGAGAAAAAAGCAAAAGAAAGCAGGGGAAAGTATATTCCTATCAAATGAGATGGTTACATTCTGATCTGTGAAATTTGTTTTAAATACAGTTAAGACAGATATGCTAGTCCACACCCAAAGAAGAAAACATTCATACCTATACAGGGCTTAACATGCTGAAAACAAGCTTTAGTCAGATCACCTAACAAGGCGAAAGAACTCTGCCGAACTTCGGGCATTTTATCCTACAAGAAATAAGAAGAAATTAACTTCTCATAACACAAAGAAGCAGGTTCCAAATCATTCACTCTTACAAATCTTACCTGCATGCATTGATACATTAGTGTTAGGATGTTGCTTCGGGCTACTAGCTGCTCGATGTTGCCTCCCAGCCCTTCAGCCAGGCCACTGAGTAAGTCAAGAGCCACAATCATAAAATCTTTATCTGGAGCTTCATACTGTTCTGGCTGAGCATTGTTTAGCTGAAATTAAACACATTGTCTTTGCTGTTGCACAGTGAAAAAGTGTGTATATCTATCTCTAAAATTATGATAGGAAGAAAAAGTTATGAAAAAAAATATATATACCATGGCTTGTGCTAGAGTCTTCTGCACTAGATTTACACAACGCTGATACACAGGTTCACAATAGGGTAGGAAGCCAGATTGCAAGGCTGTGGCAACGGACGAGAGGCACTAGAAAGAATTAAGTACACACATTAAGTTTTCAGATTCTAGAAAAGACTATAAATGCTTTAAATTAAGCAAAAATAGTCTGAGCTGATTATGCATCTGTTCTACGATGCTATCACACCTTTTCTAACTTTGTTCATTGTCAATTTGTCAGCCAATAAGAAGAAAATAAAACTTCCATTATATGAGAAATAATAAGCAATCTAAGTGTGATTTATAAAGAGGGCCGATAGAGTATGTGTAAGATACACAAACACGACGACAGATAACCCGAGCATGAGCTCACTTTGGAGTGAGTGAGTCTGCCAAGTAGACTGCTGTGCCTATGGTACAGGAGTGGCAAGACGATTACAGAACAACCAACCAGTCTGCAATTTAACCAAAGGCCTGGTCCACAGTAGAGAACTCATATTTGGTACTGTAAACCTAGTCAAAAGTTCATGGTTGAGGTGGTCAGACCCTGGGAGTTAAACTATGGTTGTTTTTTGCTAAGTGGATATGTTGTCAAACATCTTTCTAAATATTTATACTTATAATCATAGATTAACCTTAAGTTTAACCTTGGTCAGAGGTTCTTTCTGCATTGGGAAGCAGTCCAGAGGTGAGAATAATTGACTTTTGAATGTTCAGCCCTAAATGATCTACAAACTCCCTTCCCCAAGCTCTGGGAACATCATGGAAAAGGGGTTAAGAAAAATCTAAGAGCCGGAAGATGCAGGATTGCTGTGAGATGCTGTCTTCTGGATATGACAAGGCTACTATACTCATGAACTCAGTGTCATAAGGTCAAGGCTAGTTAATATTCTAGAACAGATGGGGGAGGAGCTGACGAAGGCCATCCCTAGTTGAACAGCTATTGGTTGGTAACTACAATAGCTACCAACTACAGAATAGCAATTTTTCTTTAGGGTTGTGGCTGCTTGTAGGTTGCTCTGGTAGATGCCCCCATACTCATGGGCATATATACAGACAATATTAATTGGACTCAGTAAGCTATTTAAAAACAAAACAAAAAACCAGGTATGGTAAAACATGACCATATATACAGTCCACACATGTATGAAACCGTCAAAGAACAAACTTTAAAATGCTGCAAAAAACAAGTTCTATGACTATTCACCATTTCAACAGAAATTGTTTTGAGAAACAATTTATTGACATTCTATCAAGCACACACGTTTTGGTTCAGAACACATTTGTATTGCTTTACACTGTGGGAACAATCACATATCACCAGCTCAGCATACCTCAAGCAACGGGAAGAGATCTTTGTCTTCGTCCTTTAACATGTTCCATTTCTGGATCAGAGGCGGCATTAGCATCTGAATATATTCCTGTTTACAGAATGACAAACACAGAGCTTCACTACCATCCGGGAACACACTAGTTCATTTTGAGTTTATAAAAATTAAAGTTCATTTGGAGCAATTGTGCTCAACTTTTACAAACCTATTTTTAAGACCCAGTCTTTACTTTACAGTTCCCTTAAATATTTTTCTACCCCATCTCCACTTTTTAATTCATATGACCCTGATTTAAAATAATCTTCCATGTTTCCTAAAACAAAATGTGTATAAGTATCTCATTCCATTAAAATCTGTTACTTGGGTTTCTTTCTCTTTTATTTATTTACTTACTTACTTATTAATATTTTATGTATGAGTGCTCCGCTGGCCAGCAGAGGGCATCAGATCTCATTACAGATGGCTGTGAGCCACCATGTGCGTGTTGGGAGTTGAACTCAGGACCTCTGGAAGAGCAGCCAGTGCTCTTAAGTGCTAAACCATCTCTCCAGCCGCCACTGCTTTCTATTTTTAAGTCAGTCCCACCACGTACTGGCTGCCTGGAATTCACTGTGTGGTCAAAGCTGGCCTCAAAGTCAGAGATCCATTTGCCTCTGCCTCCCAAGTGCTGGGACTATGAGTGTCTGTCACCAAACCCAGCATAATCCACAGCTTATTAAATCCCAGGTTTTCCTCCCAAGTAATAAGACTATTTGGGGTGGGAAGGGCTGGCTGTGGCTATCCCATAATGGCTGTTGATCTATAGTGAGCTCATGATAGTTACACAAAAGGTACAGGCTATAAAACACAACCTATCCCTCAACTAAGCAAACCACCCAACACCAAAGACTGTCTGGCTCTAGGGCTGAGAGTAATTTAAAACAAGGGTGAGTTAAGGCTCTTCCTACAGTGACTATGTATCTCATCAAATCATGTCTAGCAGGGACACTGAGCTATGTTAAAATTCTTAAAACATTATCTTCAAACCTCACCTCGTAAGCTACACCACGTCAGACAAGACACTTTTAGTGCTCAGTCAGCATTTTCCACCTACCATTCGCATTCTATCTTTTATATTGTATAGTAGACCCCCAGGTATACTCTGAAGAGAAAGTAGAATGTCGAGATGCAGCAGCTTTGAAGCCAGTGTTAAAGAGTGCTTAAATGGAACCAAGTAAATGTAGAGTACAAACTCTTTTTTACCCCTTTCCTCCAGATACTCTAAAGTGTATTCGTGAGATGCTATTTCTACACTAACCATACACTTATTTCAACTGCTACCTCTTTCTTAAGAATTATATTCCCTATTCCCACAGTAGCCAAACCTAACTGTTCATACTTCTTAGGCTTTTCATTTGGAAACACACACTATGTATTTATGCAGCTTATTGTACTGTCCCATAGCAGTCATCCTCAGATCCTTACTGGCTTGTTTAAATGATGTCCCACTGAATCTGCTAGTGTCCCAATGGCATCATACAGAATAAGCAGGTTCTTATGCTGGTATTTACTGAAGGCGAAGACGAGGGTATCGAGTATATAAGCAAGGTACGGGACAAGCTCTGTACAAGCCTCCTCTTCTAATGTAGCGAAGGCACTACAATGAAAATGAAAAACACATAGGAAATGAAGTCTCCTGTCACAGAAGATTATATACATCACACCATGAGTATAGCCTTGCCTCATTCTACATGCTTACTTTGGTTTTTAATGATTTTTTTTCTCACGAAAATATTTATGTGTACACGCCTGAGTCTGTATGTATACCACATGTACGCAGGAGTCCTTGAAGATCGTTACAAACATCTAATCCCCTAAAATGAAGTTACAGGTGGTGGTGAACTGTCATGAGCTGCTGGGAACGAACCTTAAGTGTTAAGCTATCTATCCAGCTCGCCCTCGTCCTCTAAAAAATTTATTTTGAGACAGGGTCTCTCTGTGTAGCCCTGGCTGTCCTGGACTTCACCCTGTAGATCAGGTTGCCCTCCAATTCAGAGATCCGCCTGGCTCCTCTTTTCTTAATATGCTATAGTGGTGAGATCTAAAACCATTAAGACTTCTGGGCCTTGTATTTATCCATTCAACAAGTTTATTTGGTGCTTACTATTCATATCGTCAGAGTGCTGGGAATGCAGCAATCTGGAGTGTAAGTTCCATAATCAAGATTTAAAACAAATAAAACCAGGCATATTAGTGATTTCTTGTAATTCCAGATCTAGGAAGGTACTTGGTAACCCAGTCTAGCTTAGTAGGCAAGTCTTAGGATAATGAAGGATCATCCACACGAGAACACTTAATGATAAGCTGAAATGGGAGGTAAATGACTGAATGCTTGCCTAGCATATCTGAGTATCTGAGGGTTTGATCCCTAAACCGACAAAAGGGTCAAAGGTAAAAACTATTTGGAGTTATAAATTTAATGGCAGGTACCCTTGCTCCAGGAAACAGAAACTAGTAGAGATGAAAGCAAATAGTTTTGATGTGAGAAAAGAGTGCCCTAAATAAAACAGAACAGCTATGGAAGATTACTAAGCATATGACATCACTGTGGACATACCAAAAGTCTGTAGGACATTCTGCCAAGTTTTGGCAGCGGATCGGTAGACTAAAGATCTAGAATTTTGTTATTCCTTTGAGATTCCACAAACACGTTAGCTGACAGAATGAGGAAGAAAGCAAAGGCTTATGCTTAGTTAAAAGTCACACTTTAACAAAACCATTAGTAAAAATATTTGCCATTGTGCAAACATCCCAGAGCCACAAATCAGTCCTATTAAAACTGAACCAATGAAAACTAAACTTCCCATCATAACTGCAGTGTTGTATGTTTAATGGTTTAACGTCAACATTCTATGACTGGTTCAAAACCAGGCTCCTACTTTCACAATCAACACTGTCCCACCTGCAAGCGGCTTCTTGTACTCTCTTGTTGCTATCCAGGATACGCTTCAGCAATTCTGTCATTAATGGCTTCAGGTATGTATCTGGTGGCTGGCTGACTACCCAGTGTGCATAGCGGCTAAGAGTCCAGCAGGTAATGGACCGCACAAGAGCCTTTTTGTCAGAGAGGCACTGAATAAGGTGAGGAATGAGCTCAGGCAAGTATGGAATCATGCCTTGCATGCAACCTAGGAAAGAACAGCAATCCTTCAAAACAGTGCTAAACTCAACTGTGCATAGAAAGAACACAATCATTCACAAAAAAAAAAAAATTAGTACATTTCCAGTGTTACAGAGAAGTTGATACCAAATTATTTAGAATAACAAATCAGAGTTAGTTGTTCCAAGGTGTCTTATAGGAGGCTAAAATTACACTTAAATTTTTGTCATGAAAATTCTGCTTTTCTTTTTTTGTTGTTGTTAATTTAATTATTTTAAATGCAAGGATGACGTACCTGAATACATGTATTTGTACTTTGTCTTTTTAAAATTGTTATTATTAACTATTTTTCTCTACTCCACTCCCCTCTCTTCCTCTTCCCTCCCCTTCAATGCTATCCCATGGTCCTCATGCTCCCAATTTACTCAGGAGATCTTGTTTTTTTCTACTTTCCATATAGATTAGATCCATGTATGCCTCTCTTTGGGTCCTTATTGTTGTCTAGGTTCTCTGGGATTGGGAACTGTAGGCTGGTTTTTCTTTGCTTTATGTCTAAAAGCCATTTATGAATAAGAATACATTATACTTGTCTTTCTGGGTCTGGGTTACCTCACTCAATATGATGTTTTTTTAGATCCATCCATTTGCCCGCAAATTTCAAGAAAAATCTGGTTGTAAAGATGCCTATTGGAACCAAATAGAAGACCCAGATATCAATCCACACATCTTTGAACACCTGATCTTTGATAAAGAAGCAAAAAATATCAAATGGAAAAAAGAAAGCATATTTAACAAGTGATGTTGGTATAACTGGATATCAACATGTAGAAGAATGAAAATAGACCCATATCTATCACCATGCACAAAACTCAAGTCCAAATGGATCAAAGACCTCAACATAAAGCCAGCCACACTGAACCTTATAGAAGAGAAAGTGGGAAGTACACTTGAACACATTGGCACAGGGAACCACTTCCTAAATAGAACCCCAGCAGCACAGACACTGATAACAACAATAAATAAATGGGACCTCCTGAAACTGAAAAGCTTCTGTAAAACAAAGGACATGGTCAACAAGACAAAACGACAGCCTACAGATTGAGAAAAGTTCTTCACTAACCCCACACCAGAGGTCTGATCTCCAAAATATACAAAGAACTCAAGAAATTGGTCATCAAAATAACAAATAATCCAATGAAAAAAAAAATGGAGTATAGACCTAAACAGAGAACTCTCAACAGAGGGATCTAAAATGGCTGAAAGACACTTAAGGAAATGTTCAACATCCTTAGGCATCAGAGAAATGCAAATCAAAACAACTCTGAGATTCCATCTTATATCTGAAAGAATGGTCAAAATTAAAAACACTGATGACAACTTATGCTGGAGAGGTTGTTGGGTAAAGGAAACACTTTTGCATTGCTGGTGGTAATGCAAGCTGGTACAGTCCCTTTGGATGTCAGTGTGGTGATTTCTCAGAAAATTAGGAAACAACCTTCCTCAAGACCCAGTAATACCACTTTTGGGTATATATCCAAGATGCTCAATCATGTCACAAGGACATGTGCTCAACTATGTTCATAGCAGCTTTGTTTGTCATGGCCAGAACCTAGAGACAACCTAAATGTTCCTCGACTGAAGAATGGATAAGGAAAATGTGGTACATTTACACAATGGAGTACTACACAGCAAAAAAAAAAAAACAAAAACAAAAACCAAACAAACAAACAAAAAACAACAGCTTGAATTTTGCAGGAAAATGGATGGAGTATTTTGAGTGAGGTAACCCAGACCCAGAAAGACTTGGACTTTGAGTCCAAAAATCACATGGACTCATTCATAGGTGGTTTTTAAACATAATGCAAAGAAAGTCAGCCTACAAATCACAATCCCAGAGAAGTTAGACAACAATGTGGACAGTAAGAGAGACTTACATAGATCTATTCTACATGGAAAGTAGAAAGTAGAAAAAGACAAGATCTCCTGAGTAAATTGGGAGCATGGGGACCTTGGGGGAGGGCTGAAGTGGTGAGGGGAGAGGCAGGGAGGGGAGCAGAGGAAAATGTAGAGTTCAATAAATATCAATTTAAAAAAAGTATATAAAAAAGATGCCTATAAAATGTCTTGAGGTAGAAATTTACAGCTAAGATAGAACAACAAAACCAATCCTCTTATAGAGAATGGTGACACTCTTGCCTTACCAAACTTCCTAGATTTACCTGTGGAATATTTCCAAGAAACAGCCCTGAGACATCAGATTTCTTTCTTAGTGGTACCTAACAAGAACTTACTTTAAGGTGGTTTCTGAATTTAATCATCTCTTTTAAGGTCAGTAGCGATCACAGTCCTGTCTACCACACACTGGCCTTGCAAGCAGAGCCATGTAGTATGTGAGTTCAGAGTGAAATCTCTGCTTACTAAGTTAACAACTGCTTAAAGTAACCTAGTCTTATTAAAATCTATTAAGAACTTTCTTTGCAATTGGACTTACCTTCAGCAATTGCTCCTAAAACCAAGATGCCTGATTCTTTAACAACCCATTCATGATGAAAAAGCAACTCTTTCAAAAGTGGCAAAATGTGTGGTAAGAGTTCATCACGATAAACATTTGCAAGAACATCCAGAGCAGCAGCAGAACATTTTCCTAAGGAAATACATTTTTGTTGACAGAATTAGCAAATTTATTAAGATACTTTATTCTGTACTTGATTACAGATTCTTCTAGCTTTCTGGAAAAATCTAATGCTCTATTCAATCTAATGCGCTTCCAGAATACCATACATGGTCATTGTTAAAATTCTGTGGCAAAATGTGCTCACTTTAAAGCAAACAAACAGACTAAAAAGAAAAAGAGTCACACTTAAAACTGAATTCTATTCAGGCCGGTAGTGGTAGGCCAATCTGTCAGAGGACAGTCTGCTCGATACTGAGTTCCAGGCCAGCGAGGGTTATATGAGACCCCATCTCAAAAACAAAACAAGCAATAAAACACCAGCTTAAGTTCTACTTAGTATTTCTTTCTAAAAGTTTTACTTACTTATTATGTATACAGTATTCTGTCTGCATGTATGCCTGCAGGCCAGAAAAGGGAATCAGATCTCATTTTAGATGTTGTGAGCTACCACATGTTTATTGGGAATTGAACTCAGATCTCTGGAAGAACAACCAGAGCTGTTAACCTCTGAGCCACCTCTCCAGTCCTCTACATAACATTTCTAATAGTACATCATTTAAAATCAAGTATATAATTTTTTTTTTTGAGACAGGGTTTCTCTGTAGCTTTAGAGCCTGTCCTGAAACTAGCTCTTGTAGACCAGGCTGGCCCTGAACTCACAGAGATCCACCTGCCTCTGCCTCTCGAGTGCTGGGATTAAAGGCGTGCGCCACCACTGCCCGGCTATAATTTTTTTTTCTGACCCATATTCTATTTTAAGTTTTGTTGTTGTTTGGTTCCTGTCATCTCCCTTGTTCTGTCTTTACATTAAGTGACCGATGCCTGAGGAGGCCAGAAGAGGGCAGCAGATTCCCTGAACCTGCCGTTATGGCTGGTTGTGAGCTACCATGTGAGTACTGGGACTTGAACCCTAGTCCTGTGGAAGAGCAGTAAACTTTCTTATCTGCTGAGCCATCTCTCCAGCCCCCTGGTCCACACTCTTAATTGAAGAGTAGCAGCTTGCTTGCTTGTGTTGGATTAAAGTCTTGGATTTTCCCTCTGTTGGCACATGTCACATCCCTCTTCCAGTCATAGATTAAACCATGGCCATGACAACAAGCAAGCAAGCTTATGCTGGATACATTTGCCCACAGACCTGAAAACACATCCACACAAAGTTTACCAACTGACGAAAGGAAAAACTATGGAACCATGGCAACATCGATGCCAAATAAAAGCTGGATAGGAAGGGCTGTTTACAAGCAGCAAATCCTTAGACTGACACTGACTGACGGCTATGGGGATGGAGGTAACAGAAATATCCCACATTAATGATCATGGTGATAGCTGGACAGATTTACAAATAAAACCCACTGTATTATTATTTATTTTCTTGACAAAGGTCTTACTACATAGTTCAGGCTGACATCTATCAAACTTGTGAGTCTACAGCTTAAGAACCGGGTAAGACACCAACAACAGAGGTTATCCAAGCAAGCAACCGTGCTTTACTCATCCCACTTACTCAGATTCCAGTCAGAAATTGTATCGTCATCATCAATTTCATCGTCGTCGTCATCTTCCTCTTCAATCCCATCCTCCTCATGCTGCTGAGCCACTGTTCTTGAGCGATGAAACCGTGGCCTTATATCCTGCTCACTATCAGGGATTGCTTCATCTTCTTCCACATCCCCCTGGTGTTATTTAAACAGAAGCCTTCAGTGGCTACTCTATTTTAAGCTATTAATGCCTACATAAGTAAAGGAACCAGAGCATCATATGGGTCATGCACAGGATTCTGGATTGTATTTCCTGAGAGAAAACTACTTCCCTCTGCAGGAAACAGGTCCCCGTGAAAGGGACAATGGGTATATGACACCTGCTAGGATATAGGCCCTTTCTACTATTAGTTGGTGCAATAAGATAACCCAAATTAAATTCAGATCAATGTATTTAAAATAAACCCAAAGAGAGTAAGATGGTCTTAACAAATAAAATAAATTACAAACTAAAAATACATCTCAAAAGGCTCTGATCAAAGGCAAATTAAGGAAAGCACCAATGTCACTAACAATTAAGGCAACAAACAAATTTAGTTTGTTCTACTTTCAACATCTGTAGCCTGTTATAGGTAATAGGAAGCCCTTACACAGGGTCTATCTTAAATAAATGCCCTAATGATCAAATTCAAAACTTTATCATCAATATAGATATTATGTTCCCTAATCAGATGATGGTTTACTTACCTTAAGCAGAATAATATCTATATCTGAATACTTCATGCCATTCACTAACACAGGAATCAACCTAGAGAGAATTAATGAAATTCAGACCTAAAGATCCACAGAGTATTAAGTTGTCTTAACAACCTCATGCACACTAATGAAACCAATGATAACAGTGGCAATATAGTCTGTGAGCATTATCCTGTGATACACTGCTGCTCCAATTAACTCAAGGAATATGAACAGGGCAGATTTAAGAAATATTGGTCAGTCAAAGATTCATGCTCAAAAGTTCTAGAATAGAAGACCAACAGTAACTAAACACTGCAATTACGCTTCATCTGTAAAGGCAGGGTTTGTCCTCTGATCTCCAAGTGTCTGTTTTGGCACCTCTTAATCCACCCCCAACACATGAGTAAACTATTTTCATGTAGTTTAAAAAAAGGTACTCGTAAAAATCTATTCACATCAATAATGACATCTTTAGAAGATCCCTCCATGGTGAGAATGCACTTTGAGTACGCGTGTCCTGAGGACAAGCAGCTCTTGGAAGCGGGACACTTACTTAGGCAGATGCCTCACAAGTACATCTTTGCATATTGGCTGCTCAGCCAAAGTCAGCCAGAATTCACAGGCCTCCAAAGCCACGTTCTCATCTTGGTCTTGGGTCCTTTGCAGCATGTACTGTGAAGGGAATCACACTACTCATCATTTTATTCTGGATAGCAAATAGGAATTTAGTCCTGAGCCTACATTCTGCAAATCCTGGTTTCCAACCTGAACGTCTCTCTCTCTTTTAGAGCTCCCTATGTGCCTTTAAAACAAGACTAAATTTAAGAACGAAGTTCTCATTTGTGTGCATTACTGAGCCTGTATATAGGGAAGCTGCTGACTTTTCTGACACGTCAATGTCAATCAGAGGGAAAAAATAACTCTACCTGTAACTACAATCGTGTATTCTGAACACATCGAACTGAATTCACTCAGGGGATTTCCCAGTATACCTAGGACTGGAATCAAAGTCAATTGACAAATTTCTAGTACACTCTCGCTTCTGGACTAAAACAGACTGTTATGACAAAATATGGCAACTGTCACTACTCCACTACACGTCAAATACTAGTCTTTGAGTACTGCTGAAGAAAATGCTATGTAACACTATATCAGGCTCCCCTGCTGTGACCTACACCAAATGATAAAATTTTCAACATTCTGATCAGCTTCTTCTAACCTTTCAAAACTAATCTTAGGTGACTTCATAGACAAAACAGACTCAAGACACCATTTCTATACTTCTGACAACAGAAGATGCTATATATATACACACACACACACATATATACATACACACACACACACACACATATATATATACACACACACACCGCTGAGCCAGTATTTTTCTAACACATTTTAAAAACAACAAACAACAGTTACGGGGGCTGGAGAGATGGCTCAGTGGTTGGGAGCATTGCCTGCTCTTCCAAAGGTCCTGAGTTCAATTCCCGGCAACCACATGGTGGCTCACAACCATCTGTAATGAGGTCTGGTGCCGTCTTCTGGCTTGCAGACATACACACAGACAGAGTCTTGTATACATAATAAATAAATAAATAAATATTTAAAAAAAAAAACAAACAACAGTTACTTAATGACATCATGTTTATATGTTCTGTGTGTGCCTGCCTGTCTTTAAGTGTGCACCTTGTGTATGAAGTGTCCACTGAAGCCAGAAGAGGGAGTGAATCATTTTGAACCAGAACTACAAGCAGCTGTAAGCCTGCAACGCTAAGGATGAAACCACAACCTCTTCAAGAGCAACAAGCACTGTTAACTATTGAGCCATCTCTCCAGAGTCTAACACACTGTAACTCTCACTTCACAGGATAAAACTGGAAGCAGATGTGAGGCTCTGGACAATACACTGCTTAAAGCACCCAGAGAGCCATGTAATAAATAAGTATGATTATATTCAGCAATATGAAATCATATGGGAAAGTGTGACTCTACTTCTACTGAAGACAGCCTAAATCAGATGAATCTTGTTGATAATGTGAAAACAAACTCAATTTTTAACTCTATTTCCATCAATAAGAATACGTCACCTAATATCCCCAAACACCCATAAGTTGATCTATACCATGAGACTTTCCTAGTAGTTACAACAATAGAACCTATCTCTGTTTAAAAAAACTCGTCCCATAACATCTTAAATCTCACGAAAGACAAATCACCCAGATTGGAAAACAACCATCATATCTATTTTTTGTCCCTCCCCTCAAAGATATTATATAATTCAGAAAACTCTATCCTTACATTGTTACAATTATTACATTTTGTGCCAACATTTCTTTGGGGGAGAAATGAGGCAAGAATCTGCCCGGCTCGGGTTACCTCGACTATGTTATGCATATGAGGAAGCAGGCGATCCATCCGGACTTCGAGCAGCATCACCAGTGCCCGGCACACATTTTTCCGCACCTCTGCTTCCTCATCACCAGCCAGTGCAAAGAGGTTCTGTCGTAGAAAAAAAGATATTTTTACCCATATTTTAACAGACCTACAAAAAGATTGAATAATATCTGACAGTTGAAGACATGAAGACCCTAAAGTTCAAGGCCAAAACAGAACACCTAAGATTCTGCTTCAAATATCCAAACCAAACAAACAAACATTCCCCCAACCCCAGAACTGCCTTACGAACAACTGATAAAACAGACAATCAACTGTTAAGTGGCAACTACCAAAGACCATGACTGAGATATAAAGATAAAAGTCTTTCTTTTTGATTTTCTGATACAAAGTCTCTCTGTATATTGCTGACTGTTCTGGAACTCTCTATGTAGAGGAGGCTGTCCTGGAACTCACAGAAATTCACTTGCCTTTGCCTCCTAAGTGCTGGGATTAAACAACCATAATACCAGACTAAAATACAATTACATAATTATTTCTTTTAATTATGTGTGTGCGTGTGTTTAATTAACCTTGTCTGGGGGGGAAAAACATCTTTAATTAGGTGGGAAGTAGGGGTGCATGTAAGTACAGGTGCCCATAGAGGACAAGAAGGTGTTATCCCTTAGAGCAGGAGTTACAGATGGTTGTGAGTCACCTGATGTGAGTACTGGGAATTGAACTCAGGTCCTCTAGATGAGTATGGTACATGCTCTTAACCACTAAGTCATCTCTCCAGGCCTAAAATGTCAATCTTAACAAGAGACTATACACAGTTATGGTTTTTGTGTGTAGTTTATATTCACGCGAGTGATGGAGATAAACACACGGGGAGGCCAAAGGTATGTCACAGCCAATCTGGACATTATTATCTTTAAAAAATTAGGTAAGATCACTTTGAACCAGAAGCCTCATGAAATCTTCTAGACATCAAGCTTATGGGGTTACAGACATCCAATGCCATGCCTGACTTTTTATACTGAGTGATGAGGATCTGAATTCAAATCCTCATGCTTGCAGAGCAAGCACTTTAACAGACTGGGCTGTCTGCTCAGCTGCACTTTTATTTTTATTTTATGTGCATTGGTGTTTTGCCTGCATGTGTGTCTGGAAATGGAGTTATTCCAGACAGTTGTGAGCTGCCATGTTGGTGCTGGGAATTGAACCCGCATCCTCTGGCACAACATCCAGTGTTCTTAACCATGGAGCCATTTCTCCAGTCCCTCAGCTGCACATAAACAAACAAACAAGCAAGCAAACAAATGGAATTAAAGTTTATAAGCACAGACTTCTGGGTGTGCAATCCTATCACTGAAATTAAGGCAGAAGTTGACAGCCAGACAAGGTTACGTAGTGAGTTCCAGACCAATCTAGGCTATAAAGTGAGACCCTGTTGCAAAGAAGCAATCAACAAACCAATCAAATAATGGAACTGTAGCATTGGGGTATAGGCATTCCTGCTTGCATGGAGCAGCAGCAGAAGCAGGTTAACAACCCTAAATTGCTGCTGTTCACAAGTCAACTACCAACTAGTAAACTGGACAGTAATCAAGGTAATCAATCCTATGTTTCTCACAAATTCTACAAGGTTAAGAGTGTGTGAGTGTATGGGGTCGGGGGGGGGGGGACAATAGACCACAAGGCTGTGGTGACATATCCAAATGTCACAACACTAAGATACTACTACTCATTTTCACAGATAAATAAGTTAACATTAGTAGGGGTTTAAAAATACGCCATTCAGAGAAGGGATTTGAAACTGGCTTACATAGAATCTTAGGTCAACAAGTTTTTACTCTAAGAGAAAGCCAACTTTTAAGATGAGAACAGTAGCTAGTACCCCCTGGTTGGCCTGTAACCCCTTCGCTTAAGAGACAGAGGTCAAATGATCAGGAGTTTAAGGTCACCACAGCCATCCCCAATTCCCCCTCCTACCCCCAATTGAATTAAGAAATTAATTCTTAATTGAATTAAGAAAAACATCCTAAAGCTGGGCACCTTTAATTTCAGCACTTGGAAGGCAGAGGCAGGAGATCTTTGAGTTTGAGTCCACACACACAGAATTAAGAAAAACACCCTGGAGCTGGGCGGTACCTTTAATTCTAGCACTTGGGAGACAGAGGCAGATGTATCTCTGAGTTTGAGTCCCATATCGTCTACAGAGTGAGTTCCAGGATAGCCAGGGCTACACAGAGAAACCTTGTCTGAGGGAAAAAAAAAACCAAACACATCTTGAAAGAAACATCGAAAAGAGCCAAAAGCTGGCTCAGTGAGTAAAACTTCTTGCTGTGAATTTTAGCTCCTGAACTCATGGTTTGCTGGTTTGGTTTTCTTTTCTGAGACACGGTTTCTCTGTGTAATCCTGGCCATCCTGGGACTTATTCTATAGACCAGGCTGGCCTCAAACTCACTGAGATTCTCCTGCCTCTGCCTCCAGAGTGTTCAGATTAAAGGCGTGCACCACTACTGCCCAGCTGTGCTCTTTTTTTTTTTAAAGGAGGAAAAAAAAGTCTTTGGTAATACTCATTAGTAATCTCTGCACTCCTACAGTGAGCTGCAAGGTAGAGACAGGAGAAATGCCAGGACGCTTGAAGCCAGAAAGCCTAGAGAGTACAATGGAAACAGCTACAGAAATAAAAGACTCAACAAGGAAGGAGAGAACTCAAAGTTGCCTAGTGACTTGTGCATCAACTTCTTACAAATTCTTCTACACGGCTAGGTGTGGTGACACACACAGGAGACAGAGGAGGGTTCCTCTGAGTTCTGATCTACTGAACAAGTTCCAGGACAGTCAGGGCTACAGAAAAACCTTGTCTCAAAAAACCAACCAACCAAAATAAAACAATGCAAATTCTCTCTCACACACAGAGTTAAATATAAAAACAGGAAAGAAAAAAAATTAGTACTTGTAGAAACTGCATGTAGGACTGAGAGGCTATGAAGCTGTTCTGACATACTCAGTTCCATCTCTAGGCTGTCCCTGTCCCATGCCACAACTGGAAAGAAGCTATTAAAAATAAAATGGCCTCTCCCTTCTTATAATGTCAGTGTTTATAGTTGCTGTTATCAGGCAGGAGGTTCTGAAAAGGAACCACACTGTTTATTGATATGGGCAGATGCTATGGTCTTACTCTTTCTGCATTTACACCACTATGATGGGTATTTACGAGTCACATCGCCAGTTCTCTTGACACCTCTACTTCAGAAAGGAAGCCAATGTAAAAACAGAAAGTCATGCCTAATGATCTGCCCTGTACACCGAGGAAACTTAAGGTCACATTGTGTAATGCACGGTGGGCAGCAAGGTCAACAATTACACAGCTGTTCTTTTAGTATGTGCCTTTTGGATTCTTAACTTCATCAATCTTACTGTTTTGTGTTTTGCTTCAAATATTACTCATGAGCTGGGAAATCAATTTACACATCCAATTTGAATGGCCTATTGAGGAAGAATTCTTTAAGTAGTCAAGCTAGTAAACAGAACTAACTACATATACTTCCTCCGTGAGCAGTGTCTGCACCACCACTCCAATGTTCTATCACATACAGACTGCCTTTATTTCCAGTTGGGAAAAACTCATCAGATTGAATCCAATTTTAATAACGCCAGCAATAATAGCTATTTTTGTATTGTAAATTACTAGGTATATAATGTACCTACAGCCCCAGGGTAGTCCTACATGGGCAGTGGTGAATCTTACCTCAATGAAAGAATCAATGTGCAGCATAAGTGCTTGAGTCCGACTGATGATGAACTGATTGACACATGCAACAGCGTGAGACCTAGAAACCAAGTTCATAAGAACTTTAATGTGCATCTCTAGAGTACTATGGTATATGAGCCCATCCGTGTACCAGCAGGGCAACACCAGTCTTCAGAGAGTAATGGTGAGATAGTCCTGGCACATAGCCATGTACTCTAATTTCATTTCTTTTCTTTTATTGAGCTGTACATTTTTCTCCACTCCTCTCCCCCTTAACTAATTTCTTAATAAGACCTGATTGACATTACATAAATGACAGTTATCCAAATACACCTTTTTTTTAATAGTGCAGTTTCTTTTCCATAGAACACAATACTTTTAAATTAAAGGGAAAAAAAGTGATTGTTTTAGAGGTGTCTGAGTATTTAGTAAGCACAGAGCAAATTTAAGCAAAGTGAAACACATTTTAATTCCAATTTCCAGTTTGAAATGCCTACACAGTTTAGGTCAAATAATATTCAGTCTTTCTTTAATCCACACTGTATCTTAAAAACAAGCATTTGCAGTATTTTACAATTTTAGGGTAAGGTTCCTAAATTGCCTGGTTGACAGACTATACTAAGAGGGCAACTCTACAGCTCTACAGAGGTTTACAATTTAGAAATTTTACAGGTGGCTCATCAGTGCTCATGGGGGTATTTATCACTCGGATGGTTCCCAGCATGGATAAGGCAGACTCCTTGAAAGCTGAAGGTGTACCCTTCTGTTTCCCCAAACACTCTACAAGGCAACATCTACCACTGTGCTTGGAAAATAGGAATTCAAAGAAATGCACTCATTCCCCACCTCAATAGGAGGGGCTTCAGACATGCTCACTTCAGAACTAGCAAGTAAGTCTCCATACGTCAGCCACCACATCACAGGCTCAGCAGCCGTCCCTGCTGCAATCACTCTGCTCTTACCAGCAGCCATTACAACTTTCTTCTGAAATGAGATTTACCAAAAAATAACTTTCAAAAGTAAAAATCTATATTCCTATGAGCCTCCAGTGTCTAACTCTTTCCTTGTTGTGCAGTGATTACTTTCTATAAGAGTAGTAATTAACTGTCTTTATAAGCTATATTCTAAATTACTGCAATTTGCTAAAAATTTAAAATTTTGTTCAAAGAACAGACCAGAATCTTGTATGGTCATTAAACATGGACCCAGAAGGAATAACATATACATGAAATTCACATCGGTCAAGTGAGATTTTAAAACCAACGTGGTTACTTTATTTATTTATTTTGAGGCAGGGTCTCACTACATAGCTACAATTGGCCTCAAACTCAAGAGATCAACTTGCATCCCAAGAGCTGAGCTAAGAAGCGAGCAGAGTAGTTTAATGGCTGTGTTGGTGTGTTGGTTTGAATGAGAATGGCCCCATAACTGAACTCTTAGTCACCAAGGAGTGGAACTATTTGAAAAGATTACAAGTATTAGGAGCTGTGGTCCTGCTGGAGGCTGTGAGACCTTGTGATAATGAGGACTAATCCTCTGACACTATAAACAAATCCCCAGTGAACTGTTTCCTTTTGTCTCTCTTCACAGCAACAGAACAGCGACTAAGATGGCTAGGGAAAATCATGCTTCCATGCTTCCCAATGGAGGAGTGGACTGGGGGAGGGGCGGTAGGGAACTTGCGGTTAGGATATAAAAACAAAGAAATAAATCATAATAAAAACATGCTACTCAAATGAATCATGACCGCGAGAGCAGCAGTTCTCAACCTGTGGGTCAGGACCCTCTTTGGGGTGGGGGGAAGAGTCAAACAACCCTTCCACAGGGGTTGCTTATCAGATATTTATATTACGATAACAGTAGCAAAATTATGGTTATGAAGTAGTTACAAAATAATGTTATGGTTGGGGGTCAGCACACCATGAGGGTCATAGCATTAGAAGGTTGAGAACCACTGCTCTAGAGCCTTGTGGTTTGTACCCAAGAACTCGGGGTAAGATACATAGTCTTAGCCTGGGAGTCTAAAGACCATACTGAACAACAGCATGAGATAATTTTAAAGATGACAGATCCTCCAGATCCACAGATAAAAAAAAAAGACCCCTAATTTAAAAAGAATGAAAGACAAGAAAAGGGGCAATGCTTATAACAACATGAACTATAACAGTCTGATCATACAACCAAAACGATAATAAAACACTATTTTATATCTCCCTGATCAATAGCATTTAAAAAGTATGATGAACAAAAAATAGAAACAAACAAACAAACCAACCAACTACCCTAAAATTCAGATGCAACCACAAAAAACCTCAGACAGCCAAAACAATCTGAGCAAAAAGAAAAATGCTAGGCGGGGAATCACCATTCCATATTCTAAAATATATTACAGAGCCAGAGTAATAAAAATAACGTGAGTTGTACATAGTGGCACACATTTTTGTTCTAGTATTTGGGAGACAGAGCCAGGCCAATCTCTGTGAATCTGAGGTCAGCTTGGCCCACACAGAGAGTCAGAGAGTTCCAGGACTACCATGACTACATAGATAGACCCAGTCCAAAAAACAAACAAAACAAAACAAAACAAAAAAAAAAAGGAAAAGAAACAAAAATAAACCCCCAAACCCAAATATGGAACTGGCACAAGAACAAACGTGCTGACCATTCGAACAATAATCAAAGACCCAAATATGAGTACACATGACGTCAGCCATTTCTGTGACAAAGATGCCAGAAACACAGACTAGAGAAAAGAACTTCAACAAACAGTGCTGGGAAACACTGATGTCCACGTGTAGAAGAATGAAATTAAACCAGTATGAATCATCTTGCATGAAGACTAACTCTAAATGGACCAAAGACCTAAAGTAAAGCCTGAAACACTAAAGCTACTAGGAGAAAACATAGGCAGTAGCCCCCAAATGACTGAGGTGTGGGAAGTAGAACTCTATTTGTCCCAAATTAAAGCTAACAATTATTGACAAGTGGAAGTTTGTAAAACCTAAGAAGCTTCAGCACAGCTAAAGAGACATCCCCAGCGAGGTGAAGAGAAAGCCTGGATAATGGGCGACAGTGAGACATCTGACATTAATATCCAGAACATAGGAAAAGGAAAGAAACAAACAAACCATCACCAAATGACCCATTCACAAAATGGGCCTAAGATGTAAACAGTTCTCAGAAGAATTAAAAAAATAACCTACTAAGACATATGTAAAAAAATGTTCATTGTCCCTAGCAATTTAGAGAAATGTAAATCAAAACAACTTTGAGATTTCATCATACTCCAGTATGGCAAAGGTCAACAAAAAACTCTACAACAAATGCCACGGAAAGAAAAAGAACCCACATCCACTGCTGATAGAACTGCAAACTGGTACAGAAAACAGTTTGGACAATTATCAAAAGGTAACAAGAGTCCACACTATGACCCAGTCAGAGCACTCCTTGGCATACTATGCCCAAAGGACTCAACATCCTACACTTGCTCAGCCATGTTCACTGCTACTCTATTCATAGCTAGGGAATGGGAACAACCTAGAATAACAGATAATGAAAACATGATACATACACAGTAAAGGATACTATTCAGCTATAAAGGAAATTGAAATCATAAACTTTGCAGGTAAATGGGTGGAACTAGAAGAGATCATACTGAGTGAGGTAACCCAGATGCAGAAACAAAACATATGGATCTTCTCATCAGAGATTCCTAGCTCCAAATTTTCAGATTCTGAGTACATATCCTGGAGCTACTCTACTGCAGAAACCAGGAAAGTAGACAGGGATTGTAGCTAGAGTATGGGGATGGGGACAACAGGGGATCAAGATAAAGAGAGAGAAGGAAAGAGGAATGCAAAACAACACATTACAGGTATTGCTATTCTATTGCCCTTAGTTGCCCACCCCACAAAGTAGAAAATAAGTCCCTACTGCCGAAAACACCATGCATTTCAAACACAGGCTCCAGAGGCCCCTGAGCTGGAACTGATCTATATGCCCTCCCTTTTAAGGACTAGCTTTCATATTTCATAGTACGAGAAGGCACCATGCAAGCTTTCAAAGAAGGGAAACAACCAACAGTTCTATCCAGCCACAACAACCAGCACAACACAATAATCTTCCTAAGGGCACAGCAGTGATCGCATACCTTGGTCCTAAGGGTGCTGCAGTGACCGCATACCTTGATCCTAAGGGTGCTGCAGTGACCGCATACCTTGGTCCTAAGGGTGCTGCAGTGACCACATACCTTGGTCCCAGCGGCGCAGCAGTGACCACATACCTTGGCAGTAACCAACAGCACTTTCACTGGACTTAAGACCTGTTCGACAAGATGGGAATCATGCCTGGTACTTACTAGAAACCCAGTCAAGTGCCCATGACCAGTGAATTCATGGATCTTGAAAGGAACCTACTACATCCACCAACTTATTGACAGCACAATCCTTAACTCCAGTCCCAATGTTTGTCCTCACACCCAGAGACAAGCACAGTCTTCACTCTCATCAAGGAAAATTCTCTTTTCAACAGAAACAGACCATGCAGAAGACCACAACCAATAAAAATGCAGAGTTACGAAGGCAAGTCCCAGGGGAAACATCAATAAAACAACTCCTGCAATCTAAGGTACAATGAACTTTTTAGAAGAGGGGGTGGGGTAGAAAGGCTGTAAAGCCAGAGGACTGGAGAGTCTGCAGTGAAATTGTGTCTCCTGGGAAGGTCAGAAGCTCCATCTATAACAATTAATAATTTAAAAAAAAAGAGGCCATTAAATTTGAAAGACAGCAAGAGGGTTTGGAGGGAAAAAAAAGGAAGAAATGATGTAATTATACTATAACTAAAAAAGTAATAAAAATGTGTGATAAAGTCAAACACAGCTCTAGTCACAGGATGCCTACTGCAGGCAGGAGAGCAGAAGTCTCTGCTCGTGGTGAGTCCTACCCACAGGACAAGCCTCTCTCAAACCTCAAACCTAGTTATGGGCCTTGCTAAGACCATGCCTTCTATGCCAGGACAGATCAGCAGTAGGAAGGAGTTTCCAAAGGCTCAGAGGGCTGACGTCCAGTGGCATCTCAAGAA